TACCACAGAGACCCTTAAAAGCCCACTTGAGGAACAGCGCAGCACAGTTGTCCAGGAGGACACTTGGAGACGGTGGAATATGCTGTCTGAAGTGTGCAGGACAGCCACTAAGCACAAATGGCAAGCACTTGAGATGCACTGCTGAGTGATGAGCTGGCAGAATAGCCAACTTGGTTAGTGACTCCTGCGTCATGACAACATACACCAAGCCTCATACTTCATATCACCATTTCCAATATCTGGATCCCAAAAACTGCTGTGGAAGTCACCTGGTGATACCTTAGGAAGAATCATAGGCCTGAGACAAAGCAGCCAGGTTACTGGTGTACAAGTAACTCTGAAAGACACAGGTCCAGTTGTTTCCAGTGACAATGCCAATTAAGCCCTACTACTGACTGTCCTGGGAGAACTTATAAGAGCAGTCACTGATAGACTAATGTTAATTTTTAGGGATGAAAATCCATACAGAACATTCAATGGGATAAGTAAATGACATTCAAGTACCTTCCAAAAGTAGAATGAAGCAGCTTTTAAAGAATGTAAACCTAAACTCTCAATTTTGAGACATGATGTTGAAGAGTAAAGGCTGGCCTGGAAAAGTTAATCCTCTTGCCTCAGCCTCTTCAGTGCTGGGATCACATGTAAGTATTTTCTGCACAAGTTGAACCCTGAAATTTCCAGCAGTATCACATGTAATATGAGAAGATACCACAGCACAACTTCTAAGTGTTCTTTGCCATTTCAGAGTAGCTACATCCAACAGCTGTCACGATGACAGACAGTAGGCACACTCCAGTTATAGGTCACTCCATTAGATACTTGCCAGAGCTAAAATCTTTTTAAATCCTAAATAGCGTATACTCTCACCAACCATCATGACATAACCATGTTCAAGGTAACTAACTTTATCAAAAACTATGAGAGTTTCTCTCTCTCTCTCTCTCTCTCTCTCTCTCTCTCTCTCTCTCTCTCCCTACACACACCACACCACCCCCCCACACACCAGGTTGGGGGGGTGCAATATGCCCCACAAAAGACAAAGGTTCTTAAGTGTAGGCTAGCATCGTATGTGTCAGAAAGAGAAAGAAATGTCATTTAGTACTGCTGAAGCAAAGCAAATTATCTTCCTTATATAAAGACAGAGCTTCATGCAGGTCTGTAGAGACAGGAAGCACAGCACTAAAAGATAAATTAAAAAAAAAACATCAGGGCAGACAAAAATATTGTTTTCCACATGTACCAGGAGTCCAAGATTATTAAACAATACTAGTATAGTTCAGGTCCAAAAGAAATAACATACACCATATACACATACATGTATGTAATGTACACACAGAAAAATCTGATATTTATAGCAAAGTCAAGAAACGCCTTGAAGTGAGCAAAATTAGGGTACACAGGACATATTACCTACCTTCTTTAAGGAAAGTGGGCATGTTTCGTCAAACATTAAAAATCAGTTCAGTATTTGGAATTGGGGACTAAAGAAAGATTTGCTGCTACCCTCAAAACATACATCAATGCAAAATTACAATGAAAAGACACAAATTATTTTCTTGAAAGAAATCTAATGCTGTCATACAGTCAGGGGTATGGGGCTTAAGTGATGGCGCAGTTAAGAGCACCTAACTGCTCACGCAGAGGATCTAGACGGTCCCCAGCATTCATGGGGTGGCTCACAGCTGTTCAGAACTGTGTTCCAGGGGATTAGATGCACTCAGATGACCACTTCACAGACACATGATACACGTGCATACATAAGACAAAGTGCCCATACACATCTTGGAAAAAGAAAAAGCCACCAAGTTGCAACCTGGCACTTCCATGTACCGGCTTGCTGGAATCACTTAGACTCAACATCAGAGCTGAGACTCTCCAAGACAACCAAGCCCTTTATATTATTTTGCTATTTTCCAAGACAGAGTTTCTTTGTAAAGCTTTGGTTGTCCAAAAACTAGCTCTGTAGACCAGGCTGGCCTTAAACTCACAACGATGCCTCTGCCTCCCAGTCCTGGGATTAAAGTTATATGCCACAAACTGCCTGTATTTTTAAAAACAACAAAAAACCCTTCAATTTCAATAAAGCTGTTGTAGAACTTAATGGAGGCTCTCATTCATTTTGAAAGTCTGCTTTAGAACTGTCTTTACAATAGTGGCCTAACACATCCTGTTCTAGCACATAGGTTCTGACAGGAAAGAAACAGGCAAGTGAATTGTACAAAACTTCTGAGTAGTTATGAGGTCAGAAGAGAGCAAAATTAAAAAGTTAAAATTCACCCCTTTGGGGCTGGGAGGCAGAGGTAGGCAGATGTCCGAGTCTGAGACCAGCCTGGTCTACAAGAGCGAGTTCCAGGACAGGCTCCATAGCTAGAGAGATCCTGTCTCGAAAAACCAAGACTTCATGTGACACCATGCACACCACCTCACTACCTCCACTAGCGGACCAACCACAAGGATCTCGTTGTCTATAACCTTACTCTGCTCACAGGCTGCTCAGGATTAGTGGGCAGGTAAGTGTCCTGGGAAAACCCAACAGCAGTCTTTCAAGAGCGCTTTGTGAAGAAGGGCCAGTCTAAATCTCCCATACTGCCAGGCATGATTCTGTAAAACATATCCTTTTTGTATTAGTGGGAAGTGATCACACACGTTACTGTTACAACATAAATTGCTGTGGAAGTTTTCAGATACTCAGCACTTCTACACTGGTTCCCAAAGTGTAGCTACTATTTCACGTGTAGTGAATACGATGACCTGCATCCTGACTTTGTCAGTTGCCTATTCCCTAACCACTTAACACTGAGGACAGTCTGGAGACAGACACCAGCACAACCCGCTCGTCGTATCATACAAAGAACTAGCACATGCTTGACCAGCACTCGAACAACGAGGCATGATCCCAGCCCATAGCTATTTGAAAAGAGGCCTGTGTAGCCCAGGGTGGCCTCAAACTTGGGATCATTCCATCTGTGATCATAGGAATGCACCACCATGCCACACCATTTACTAACTTAACAAGCATTCAAGAACTTTAAGTCCTAACAATCTGAACACTTTGTCATATCTTAGACGATGACTTAAAGCACCAATGAAAACATTCATTTACACTAACTCCTGTAACTGCCTCCATGGTTATTTGTGATGAACTTAGCTGGTTGTTAACACACTAAGTCTTAAAAAAAAATCTATTAGCTTCATTGGCAAAGGCAGTAAAATGGAGAAACATTTATATGCCTAAAATATATATATGTATTATATCTTACATACTAGCTGAACGTAACTGAGGTAACTTACTACAGTCTATGAGATTTTACATTTCCTGAAAGCAACTAAGGAAGGACCACTGGAAGCAAATTCTATGACACAAATTCACACTTTGCATCTGATAAAAGCGTTAACATTATTTAACTATTAATGCTTATGTTTCATCCTTTGTAAAATGGAAAAATGACACCTACAGTTATTATGCAGGCCAATGCATGTGTCGCAAAGTGGCTGAAACACCACCTAACAATTAGCATGATGTAAGTGTTGCAGTTTTTTAATTCCTATATAGTATACACTAAATTCTTCTGTAAAATTGTTAATTTATTCATTACAATGTTGTGGGATCTTTTTGTACACTGTAAAGATGTGTCTCTGCCTAAAGCACCTTCTGATTGGTTTTATAAAGAGCTGAATGGCCAATAGCTAGGCTGGAGAGAACAGGCAGAACTTTCTGGGAGAGGGGACCTCAGGGTCAGAATCTAGGCTCACAGGAGACACCAGCAAGACACAAGCGAGCCAGGCATACAAAATGGAGGGAGTAAAAAGCCACATGTATATTAATAGAAAGAGCTTAATTTAAGTTGTAAGAGTTGGTTGGGAACAGACCTAAGTTAAAAGTCAAGCTTTCGCAATTATAAGTCTCCATGTCATTATTGGGGAGTTGGCAGTCCAAAAGAAAGTCTGACAAGAGTAGCTTACATCACAATTTTTCATCCATTATAAATCATTTCATTTTTCTATTACAAAAATACATCCTACTGAAAGCTTTTAACTTTAAAATTGCATTTTGATTCTTTCTCTACTTAAAAGTTGATACTTCTTACAACTGAATCATACTCTAGAATTAAAGGAATATGAGCATTCTAATAGGCCAACTACTAGAACTCGATTTGTTGGTAACAAAGTCTCATCACCAGCACTTTCATGACTACACATTGTATCCACTATCTTCAGGTGTCCGCCCTGGGACTCATACCCACAAGATAGCCATGAATGCAGCCCAGTACAGACCAGGTCATGTTGCAATGATAAAAAGATGGAACATCCCCGAAAGACCCACACTTATGCAGAAGATATTAGGTACAGAATACTGAGATGATAAACACTACTACTGTAACACTGAACAGGGACTGTGACATCAACAGTCAATTGGCAATCTGTGGGACATCTTAAAAGTCTGTAATAAAAGCAATGCTATTGATTCCATATTTATTTTAGAAGGATCTTTATCAAGTTTATCAGTGTGAAAAGGATGAATTCATAATAATCACCACTTAAAGACATCATTTTTCTCTCTGCTTCCATAGTTCAGCTTACCATTTAGTCTATAGTCTCATTTCATAGGATCTGAACTACACAATTGTGTATTGCAGACAAAATATCTTCAAGTTTACTTTGAAATGATACAAGGAAAGAATAGATCAAGGTTTCAAGTTTACAGAAAACCATACTGTAACAATTGACCAATATAAATAGTTCTTCATACTTGTTTATTCTGTTTTATTCAAATAACACTAAGCATCCTAACACATGTTCCCCTATACTCTCCTTATGCTCGTTTTCTGCTCTTTAAGTAAAAACATCTCAAAGTCAACAAATTTATAGCCACTGTTCCTAGCAAATGGTGATACACCAAAATCCCAATTCTCATGAATTTTAACATATTTAAAGTACATTATTTAACCTAAGACTGAAAAACTGTGTCTTAACTTTATTAAAAAAGATAACCACATCAGTTTAATTACATGTGATACTACCTATTCAATTTATTAAAAATTGTAATAAACATAATAATGAACTAGTGCTCCAAACTTAGACTGTGCACGGGGAAGACACTATGAAGACACAAGAGACTGCCTTGCAATAGGAAGTACAGATTCCTTCTACAGAGATGGAGAAATAAAGGACAATTCTAGTTGTCTAAAAGACAAGTCACTGTACACATTTTATTTACAGTTTTGTACACTGTCTTAATATGAATGGGACCGCTTTTCTACTTGAGCCATTTGTAACCAGAGCAAAAGAACCTAAGTAATACAAAGTGTTAAAGTACAGCATAAAGATACAAAAGCAGACATACTAATTCTAGTTAGGAATGTAATTATGATGTTACATTTTTATAGTCCACAATTATGTTTAGGGATCACACAGACATAGATCACTGATTTGAATGAAATGCATAAATTTGTAGCAAAGCTTTGTAGTTACAAAAAAACAAAAAGTTACCAAAGAATGCACAAATTTAATGTTTATTCCACGTTTCTGTCATATTCCTGGATCCTTCACCAATGTTACATGAAGAAAAAAAACAAAAGCAAAACAAATGAAAAACTGAAATCAGAATCAGTAATGTTATCAAGGAGGGAAGCAAATAAATTAAACTCTAGCAGCCATCAGCAAGAGGCCAGCAAGGAGAATGCTGTGGAAGGACAACGAGGTTGCTAGAAAACTGCACGCAGACTCTCACCAGCAAAACACGCTCCTGCACGGAGTGCAGCAGAAACAGATCTTTTCCTGCTAAGGTAACAGAAATGCAAGTTCTTTTTCGAATACTGTGGAAAGGCAAATGGGTGTATCATGGTAATTCTACCCAGCTGTTACAGTGCGGGCCAGGGACACACCTGCGGATTCTGGGGTGGCGTATACTGTAATTCTTTGATTGGGATAGTGGACACACTAGCAAAAATTGGGGGGAGGAAGGGAAGAAATGAACACAGAGGTACAAGACAAAGGCGAATGAGACTTCTCTTATATCTTAGCAACATTTAGATGGAATCAAACTTCAGTGCAGTCCACTCTGCTTAGATGAGGCTTTGGTTCAGCTCCCAATCTCGATTGCGTGACGCAGTCTCCTGTGAGAACACTCAGGTGTCTTCTTAAACAACAAACCTATTTTTAGTGGTGGAGCCGCTCTTTGTAGCCGTGTCTGCGTGGGACTGATAACCAATTACTATCTTTGGAGGAAGTCCTAACCTTTCCTTGTATACCCTCCTATAAGACAAAGAAAAAAAAAGACCATTAACTCCTCTTTTTTAAAATAAGCTTTTAAAAAATTCATCCCTTATTAGCCTTTACATTAAGAAATGCTCACAGGAAGCAAAACAAAATATTCATTTTCTTTCAGTATAACTAGAAAAATTAAAAATTAGCCTTTACTTTCACAAGCATACTTAATCAGATTACACATATTTGTAATCCCATCAGTCTGTGTAAGGAACTACAATAACTACGACTAAATCAGTAGTGAACAAAGCAGAATCAGTTCGTGAGTTCACAGCACTTATATTTTATAAATCAATAATCGATACCTATGATGAAATAATCACACATACACTTATTTAAAAATAAGTAATACCACACACCTCCTTTCATCCCTCTATGTAAAAGGTGAAAACTAAGGTGGGTGTAGTGTTCTAAGCCTGGAATCTCAGCATCCATGAGATTGAGGAAGGAAAAGGCCAGCTTGGTTTACATAGCAAGACACTATCTCAAACAAATAAACAAGGAAAGAGAAAGAGAGAAAAAGAGAGCAGAGGGAGGGGGAGAGAGGAAAGAAAGAAAATTTCTATTGTACATATAAATTCGATTTTGTCTATGTACTAACTTCACAACCCAATTTTCAAATTAGCTGTGACTACCTTAAGAACAAAATGTGTTGTGTATTAAACAGGATTAAGTATATGAGTGGGAGCTATATAGATTAGAGTATCTAATCTGCAGTATTAAGAAAATCTCTCCTTAAAAGCCCAAAAGGTGGCTGGACATTATGGCGCACGCCTTTAATCCCAGCACCTAAGAAGCAGAGGCAGGTAGATCTTTAAATTCGAGGCTAGCCTGGTTTATATAGTGAGTTCTAGAACAAGCCAGGGTTATGTAGACACTGACTCAAAATAAATGGATGAATGGATGGGCAAACACAGATGTCAAGGTGTTAAAAGCTTCTAAGGAATGAAACACATCTAAAGAAACAACAAAAAGCTACAGAAAAAAAAATGCAATCTGCATGGCTATGTATTGTGAGTGGATATGAAAAACAGGCTGACAAAATACCCGAAAAGGAGCACAGACCTCATTTGTCAATTTCAGAAATCTGAATTTTCAATTCTCAGGGGAAAAAATACTGAACACTCAAAAACAGGGAGAAAGACTCAATTTCACAGAGCTTTACCTTCAGCAGAATTAAAATTCTTCTAAACAGGTATTTTTTTTGAAATAACTAATCTGGCAACTAGTATGAGATGACACTGTAACAGTTTCTTAAAATACTCTTTACCATTAAAAATGTATTTGCAAAAAAAAAAAAAAAAAAGAGAGAGAGAAAGAAAAAATGTAGCGAGTAGTTGAAGTGTACCAACTGGAAGCATAAAAGCCACTGTCAAGTCAGGCGGTGGTTGCGCACATCTTTAATCACAGCACTCAGGCAGAGGCAAGTGGATCTCTGTGAGTTCTACACCAGCCTGTTCTACAGAGTGAGTTCCAGGACAGTCAGGACGGTGACACAGAGAAACCTTGTCTCGAACGGCCTCCCAACCCCCAAACAAAAACTATAGTGGTAAAAACACCTTTAATCCCAGTACTTGGAAGGCAGAGATCTCTGAGAGTTGAGTTCAAGACCAGCCTGGTCTATAAAGCTTCCAAGACAACGAGGGCTACAGAAAAGCCCTGTCTTGAAAAACAAAATAAACAACCAAAAAAAATTCCTTGAAAAACTAAGGTTAAAATGTTTTAGATTTCAAACTCTGTAATATTGATACAAAAGAACTCTAACAAATTCATTAATTTTTGTTTTTTGAAGAAATACAACGTTCCTAACAAGTAAATATTGAAACTAAAAGATGAAAAGTGACATGTCAACAACGAATCTCTTCCTTATAAATCCCACCTAGAATCAAACTTGATTTTTCTTTTTACCAATTTACATGTAGCCAAAGAGAATTCTAGCAAAATTCTGGAGGGAAGAATGGGGGAGAATGACCACATTTGTAAAGAATAAAACTTACCAGAACAAAATACAAAAACTTATAAATATGTTTATAAGGGGTCTAAATATGGACAGGAACCATGACTTACTACCTGCACTCAACTTCTAGACAGCGCACATACCACTGCTGTAAAACCATTCTACAGAGGACAAACACATTCAATATTAACAGGGTCCAAATTTCTAAGTGTTCATGAAAACATTTACAAAGAAAATAAGTCTGTAAACTCCTAAGTTTTTGGAGCTGAATGTAAAAGACTTCTAGATGTAGTTAATACTGTCCAAGAAGTAGGTAGGTAGAGCAAAACGCACCCTATGTGTGTGACTGCGTCTCTGTTTTCACACTCAGTAGTCCATATTGCTATCTTATCACCTTTAGCTCTAACATTGACAACAGCTCCACATACATCATCGCTGTAGTCATCAAAAGATTCTCCAATAAGGCACAGCAGCTAAAAAAACATTGAAAAATAAAATACAAATTACATTAAATATATCATCAACAGCGAAGAAAGCAAAGGTCTCTTTTCTAGATGTACAGTTAAAAACCTAAAGCAGCTTTAAAATCAAGAGCTGACTGCTTAAATAGGCAAAGGCAGGTTGCCAAGTTTGAAGCCATTTTGATCTACAGAGACAAAAAAAAGCAAATAAATATAAAGAATTGATTCTTAATTTTTTGTTGTTGCTGTTTTGTTGGGGATGGAGGCAGGACATGCATGCCATAGCAAACTAATGCAAGAGGACAATTTGCAGCAGTTGGCTCTCCCACTCCACCCAGTAGGTTCTAGGAATTGAAACTCAGGTGGTTAGATCGGCAGCAAGCCCCATCTACCTGTGGGCCACAGACCAACTTATGAATTGACTTTTAAAATGCCTAAATTTTACTAATTTAAATTGCTTTTTGTCTTGGTTTAAAAAAAAATCAAATGTTTTAACTTTTTCTGCAAATTGGGCACACACAAAAGTGATCTCATTAATATCCATCTGCTCAGCTGCTTAGTATGTTGGCAAACAATCATTAACGAGATAACAGAAATAGCTACCCATTTAATTGCCATGTTCTAACAGTTTCCAAGCAGAGTTAGTGGCATTAAACACATTTAACATTACTGAGCAACTGTCAATACCATTGCCATAATTTTTTCAATCTACAAAACCGAAATGTCCTTTTTCCTACGGCAGCAGGTCTCAACCTGGAGGTCATGTCCCATTTGGGACAAGCCTTTCACAGGGGTTGCCTAAGACCATCAGAAACCATAGGTATTTACACTGCAATTCATAACAGTAGCAAAATTACAGTTATGAAGTAGCAACAAAAATAATTTTATAGTTAGGGTCAGCACAACATGATTAAGTATTTGAAGGTCACAGTATCAGGAACATTGAGAACCACACTGTCTTCTAGGATTTCCTCTCTCCAAAAGAGTAAATAAATCTTCGCTTTAAAATATTACTGATACACACATGTAGGTGCTTATTCACTTTGTTAGTGTCAACTATAAATAAGGTATTGAGTTCAAGTGATGACAAGAATGCCTATGATTTTTTATTTAGCGTAGCTCATAAATCCAAAGTGCTAAAGAACCATATCAAAACACATACACTAAAGAATGTTAACCAACAACTTTACTGCTCGATTACAGTTTTCAAAATTTTTAAATTTTTAATTAGCAATGCTATAAATGGGTTGTAAATACTTTACATTGATCACAAAATGTGAGAGCCTATCATTTTTGGTTAATGAAATGACAGGCAGTTGATTGTAGAAGGTAGAGTGGATGTCAATCACTTTTTATCTGACTTGTAGAATAATAAAAACCATTCACAGAATTCACGTGTATATTATTTTCCCATGATAGAAAAAAAGATTATTTGCCATATAGCACATGCTTATCTAAGCACAGCACTCAAAAGCTGTAGGCTGGAGGGTCCTGAGTTCTAGTCCCAGCAGAGCAGTAGAACATTGCTCTAAGAACAGGGTTGGGGATGGTCTTCCAGCAGGAAAGGTCACACCTAGGCACACTAAGCACTCCTCCCTTCATCTGTCTCCATGTATTTTTATTTTCACCACAGCATCTTCATACCTGTGTCATCACTTGCACTCCCCGCAGCTGGCTCCCTTTCTCTTACCCCCTCCCTATTACATGTATTCATTGGCCTATTTCTCCACCTCATTACATTAGGTCTTGTTAGTTCCATGACCTATAAACACATTATGTAACAAACACACACATGTATTTTAAACCTAAGTTCTACATATGAAAGAACACATGCCACGTATTTCTTTCTAAGTCTGGCTTATTTTGGTTAACACAATACTTCCCAGTTACATCCAAAAAAACAAAACAAAAGCCTCAAGAATCTGAATGTCATCCTTGAACAAGGACTATACTAACTTCTATTTTGTTCCAATTTTAGTGTATACGATGCCATGTTTCCTTTCTAGAACAGGAAGCCTGAGTAAACCAAAGAAAATACATCCTAAAGCCAGTCTGTAATTTTAAAGCCTTACTGTCTCTAGCCAAAAGCGATCGAGGTCACTTCGTCTCTGCTGCTTGTTCAATGTAATTAGCCATCGACCACCCCGTTTGTTCTTCTCATCTTCCCACATAGGCTCAATACCATCCTATAAAATAACAACACAATTAGACTCAGCAAGCAACCACACTGACAACTTTTCTTTTAGTCCCTACACCCCTGCAGTTGGTACAGCCTTTAAAAGCACACAGGAACTGCGTGCCAGAGGCATGCAACTACAGGAGAGTGCCACTCATCATTTAACCATCAGATCCTCAGGTCTCATTTCATCTGAAGGATCTTTAAATTCCTGAGAAGCAGACACCTTTCAGAAACTACATTAGAAATTATGTAATATGAGCCAATTAAAGTCCTATCCTAGAACCTGACAAAGGTCTATTTACAAATATCTCATGGGTTAAAAATGAGTTGACGAAGTCAGTCTACTTGAGTATATCCAGGAAGGGCTGCACAGGATTAGCAAGGCTCAAAGTCAATCCCAGGATGTACCCATGAGTAACTATGTCACCAGACTAGTGTACTCAAGCCTGGTAAAGTCAACTGCCTGAATTTGTGGCCAGTTCTTACAAATACCTGAGTGTTCTGGTCCTGTAATAAATATAAACAATCATTGATTAGGCATACCTTAAAAAGTGAGTAGTCACAGCCAGGCATTAAATTACTAGACAACTGGATATGGTTGTATAGACTAGGTAAAAGAAAATAATAATTAAAAACATAATATGTAATGCAGGATTTGGGTGCTTACATAGATATATATACAAACACAATATACACATTTGGAAAATATGAAAAACATAAAAGTTTAAGTATATTTGTTTTTCTTTTTGACTCTAATATCTGAAATGGACAAAACCAGTCTCAATAATGATTACATTCAAGAAATTTTATAACATAGATTACTACAAAGAACTATCTCAAATGACTTTATTGTAACAAAAATATTTCTATACATCTGTTTGTGAATTGGAAGAAAATGAAAACAACCACCCAGACTGAATGGTTTAATCAACATTATCATCCCAGCAAGTATCCAGGTATAAACACAACTCCAACTCCAAAAATGGTTCCAGGTTCCCACCTGGACAATGGGGAGCTCGGGCACATACCAGGCTCACAGCTATATACCAACAGTTGGATCTGTATTTCCAAATTATTTAAACCATGGAACAGTATTTGAGATGTTTGATATTCACTGCCTGAAGGGAGAAAACCCTTATCACTATCTCTTGCAATCTCTTAGAGTAAAATTTGCCTATCTTTAACATTAGATGGCAGAGATTATCTTTTACTGGTCTGCAAACCTTCAACGGCATTAAACGAGGCATGCTCTCCTGTGCTAACTTTAACTTTATCCAGGAATATTTTAGACAATTTTAAGAAAGAATTCTACATTTTATCAAATTATCAGCTTGAATAAGATAACATTATTATGCTTAAGGTATCTAATGGTTCACTATTCCCAAACCACAACCTCAAGAATCTTAATATTACACAGACTAGATTAAAGCAAAATGGACTAAAGAACTGGTTAAATAAAATCTGCTACAAAAGAGTAAGAACTAAATAGGTAGCCTAATATGTACAGAAAAATAAAGGATTCTTTTCAATCTCTCAGTTACAGTACCCAATGATTTCGCTTATACTAACTAAACTGTGGGTCTGTGTTCTACTAAACAACAAATTAGAAACACAATTATATGAACTTGTAAAAGCCAAACAATCTAGATTACATGCAAATATGCCTGGAGGTAGGGTTCAAGACCCTTCTTTTCCTTTGTAGGAAACTAGAGAGCTTTTTTGTTTTTGTTGTTGTTGTTTGAGACAAGGTTTCTCTGTAGCTTTGGAGCCTGTCCTAGAACTAGCTCTTGTAGAGCAGGTTAGCCTCAAACTCACAGAGAACCACCTGCTTCTGTTTCCCAAGTGCTGAAATTAAATGTGTGCCACCACGCCTTTAGCTGAGAGTTTCTTTCTGCGTGTGTAAAAGAAGGTTTCGTTGTAGTTACTCAAGAGTCTTGGAGTAAGCACAATTAGAGTATAAAAATCCCTTGATGCTTTCAAGAACTCCAATTAACTAGAAAACTACTTTAATTAATTAGCAGAGCTTAAATATATGTGTATCATAAAAACACTAGAATGTTCTCAGTAGAAAGAAAATGAATTCAAGTTTTATTTATTTTATACTTTGCCTTTTTAATGATGCAATGTATATTAAATGTCTATTCTAAGGCAAGCATTGGAAATACATTGAATACCGACTGTGCCCTTGAAAAACATAAGCTGTGAATTACATGACTATAATTCATTTTTGTATTCAATTCAACATGTATATGAACCTAACAAATATATAGACTAGGTAACTTTGAGGTAGCTCAATGCATTCTCAAATTTTGCCTTTCATATTCTTAAACATCATTTCCCTAAATATTCTCCAAGGAAATCAAGAAAACTTTGGAGGAGCCTCAATGGTACAGCACCTGCCTATCAAATTTAAGTTTTCGTATCTAATCCTCAGAAAACAAAAACTAAGTGAAAACAATCCATTTCAAAGCTTCTAAGGCACAGGCGGTGTACGTGCGCTATGCTTTGGGAGGTAAAGGTTAGTTATAGAATGCTAAGCCATCCTCAACAACTCGGCTACATCCTGTCCCAAATGTACAAACTTTTCAAAGAAAGACTTTCAGCTTATATTCTACTTTAAAATCCTATAAAACTTTACAATTTAAAGTCAACATTTTCCTACACTGCAAACTAAACCTAAAAGATAAAATATTTATTAATTTAACAAATTACAATAAAATTGATGAACTAACATTGCAGATACCATCATTCTCTTGACACGTCTCTGAATTCTAATCACTTCAGCCTTTGGTATCCTGAGCAGGGGAATTCCAGGTATCGTACTGAAAACTGTTTGCAGAAATAAGGCTCTCCAGAACCCAGTTATGACACAAATATATCTAGGTGACTGCACATGGAAACAAATTTCAAAAATGTCAAAAATTCTAAGACTGTAAAAGAGGATTCTCACAGAACGATGAAGAACAAAGACTATTCAAATCTAAAGAGTTGACTATAATGACCCTGTTTCTTTCTGCTGCTTGTGGGGGTGCTGGAGATCAAACATAGGGCTTTTGTAGAGACTAAACCATGTATAGTAAAAGCATAATCACCAATTCAAACATTTGTGAAGAGACAAATACACTTCATCTTTCATTTTGTGAATGATGTAAGATTAAAACAATTATACAACGTAAAAAAGTATAAATATCTTAATTACTTACGCCCAAAAGTCTTCAACAGTATCAAACTTAGAGATCAATCGAAGGTTTGCTTGCCAAGTTTTGCTTTTATCATTTTTAAAAAACCAGAGTGCCCACCTAAAAATAAAAAGCCAACATATAAAAAAGTTGTTTACCCATATTCATAGCAGAATTATTTACTAGTCAAAAGGTGGAAATGTCCATCAGTAAGAAAATGATGTCAAATTATAGCACTGCCATACGATAGAAAACTATTCAGCCTTCAAGACGAAATTCTGACACTCAGTATAACAAGGATTAATTCCAAGACCATGGCATCGTATGAAATAATACCACCCAACACACACACACACACACACACACACACACACACACACACACACAGAGAGAGAGTACTCTATGACTCTACCTATATGAGGTGCCTAAGGTAGATTCAGGAAACAAAAGTGAGGCCAAGGGGCTGGAGAAAATGGTGCTGGCGACTTATTTAATTAACTAGCTTCAGTTTAAAAGATGAAAAAAGGGTTAGGGAAATAGCACAGCAGGCAAATGCACTTACAGTGGAAGCCTGGTGACTGATTTGCACAACTGTTTGTCCTGTGATCTGTTTGTGCTGTGACACAGGAAAACCTTTAGATATGCAGATGCATATACACAAAAATAAACGTATTTTATGTGCTGTGTAACCCTGGCTGTTCTCAAATTCTCTTTGTGGACCAGGCTTGCCTCTATGCTAGGACTAAAGGCATGTGGCATCATGCTGGCTCTAAAGTCCATTCTCTGCAGATGAAAACAGGTTCTGTTACACAACAGTGTGAGTGCAACTAGCATCACTAAGCTGTGGATCTGAGAGGTTAAGAGGGGCTGGACAGGTGGCCCGGTGGTTGAAGGCTCCACCTACTCTTCAGTGGATCCAGGTTAATTCCCAGCACCCTCATGGTGGTTCATAATTATCTTTAACTAGCTCCAGGATCTGATGCCTCTTATGGCCTCCACAGACACTTTACACACGGTGCACAATCACACATGCAGGGTGAACACCCACCCATATGCACAAAAATAAATCTAAAATGTTAAAAAAAATAAAGTTTAAGATAAACTATTATTTGAACTTTACTATGTATATTTAAAAGAAAAATTTTAGGCTCGAGACCACGCCGCCTCTGCCAGCCGCCTCCTTTCGACGGCCCTCACCGCGCAGGCCGGGTCGCCTCTCCCCCCTCCGCCCCCGCCGCGGAAAGTTAAGTTTGAAGAGGGGGGACGAGGGAAACATGGACATGAAGAAGAGGATCCACCTGGAGCTGAGAAACCGGACCCCGGCAGCAGTTTGAGAACTTGTCTTGGACAATTGCAAAGCGACGATGGAAAAATCGAGGGGTTAACGGATGAATTTGTGAACCTAGAGTTCCTCAGTTTAATAAGTGTAGGCTTGTTCTCAGTTTCAGATCTCCCCAAGCTACCGAAATTGAAAAAGCTTGAGCTCAGCGATAACAGAATCTTTGGCGGTCTGGACAGACTAGCAGAAGAACTGCCAAGCCTCACACATCTGAACTTTAGTGGAAATAAGCTGAAAGATATCAGCACCTTGGAACCTTTAAAAAAATTGGATTGTCTGAAAAGCCTGGATCTCTTTGACTGTGAGGTCACTAACCTGAACGATTACAGAGAGAGTGCCTTCAAGCTCCTGCCCCAGCTGTCCTATCTGGACGGCTATGACCGAGAGGACCAGGAAGCACCTGACTCGGATGTGGAGGTGGATGGCGTAGAGGAAGCCCCTGACTCAGATGCAGAGGTGGATGGTGTGGACAAAGAAGAAGAGGATGAAGAAGGAGAAGATGAAGAGGAAGAGGAGGATGAAGAAGAGAATGAAGATGAAGATGAAGATGAGGATGTAGAAGATGATGAAGATGAAGTCAGTGGGGAGGAAGAAGAATTTGGACATGATGGTGAAGTTGATGAAGATGAAGAAGATGAGGATGAAGAGGAGGATGAAGAGGAGGAAGAAAGTGGGAAAGGTGAAAAGAGAAAGAGGGAAACAGACGATGAAGGAGAAGATGATTGAGACCCCAAACAATCTGCAAGAACCAGAACTGTTGAGTATTGGTTGGACTGTTCATGGATTTGGTAGCTGTTTAAAAAGGTAGCTGTGATACAACCCCAGGACACCCCACCCAAAGAGCCAAAGAATAGTTCCCAAGACATTCCGCCTTCCTCCGTTTAGCCCCTTGGTAATCCACCACCAAGCCTGGGGACTTCTGCCCCAACAAAATTGTAAAGGTTGTTAGGTTTTCGTGTAAGACTCTTGCTGTATCGTGACAGCTGTGGTTGGTGAGTTGACCGTCCTGGCTGCCAGTTACACTGCGATTGTAACAACATTTTTACTTTCTGTACAACAAGGAAAAGCTTTGTAAATAAAATCTTAACATTTTGGGTCTGTTTTCTCATGCTTTTCTTTCTTTTTTTAAGACAGTAGGACATTTTATGTGATGACTGCTCAAAAAAACGTATTTTCTAAGATGAAGTAAAATAAATGCATTACTCTTTGGTAAAGCCTAAAAAAAAGGAAAAATTTTAAAAAGTAGTTTTTATTACAAAAGCAAACAATAGTTTTCATATTTTTCATTTAAAAAGCATGATTTTAGCTGGGGAAATAGTGCTTTACTAGTATAGATGAGGCCCTAGGTTTGATCCTGAGCAACACAATTAAAAATAAATATAACATTGTGTATCAACTATATAACAGATTCTCTGCAAAACAGACAATTATAGTGTACAAAATAATATGATAGCAGTTAAGAAAGAACAATTATTTAAAAGCAATATAGAGCAGAAATTAGTTAAAAGGAAAAAAGGGGTACAGAGATGGGGAAAATCATTTGGATAAGAAACTGCTCTTGCCTGGACTGCTTGATGATATGCTGGATGAACTGGACATGCAGGACCCACAGAAAAAAATGACTGCTGAACTTGCCTAAAGGTGAAGACAGTCCTTCAGGGTTCCTGCTTCATGAAAGAGTCTGCCAAACATTCTTCAGGATACAGAAGAAAGTGACTGACAAACTGCCAAGAGAGGCCAGTCTTTCAAATTTCCTGCTTCATGGAAAAGTCTGCCAGATACTATGAGTCTATAGGCTGAAGATGGATGCCCTCAATGTTATATAAGAACTTTGGGTGATTGTCCAGGCAAGGAGATGTCTCTGTCAATTCTAGAGTTTTGGAAATTGCTTACAATGTACTTCCTGTTAATTTAGGTAATATTATATCCTTCTAGGGTCTTTGAAGAGTTGAAGAAAGATACAATTTTCCTTGGTTATGATAAAGGATAAATTAGACATAAAACTTTTGACTTACAAAGATAGGACAGAAGATAGAATATTTTCCTTAATTTGTCAAATGTAAATGGACTACACATTGTAACTATAATTCTTCCTTGATACCTATTTTGTTATATGTAATTTTACTATGTTAGAGTTAAAAACTTTCTTTTCATTTAGACAAAAAAGAGGAGGTGATGCGGGATTCCCCTCTGTATGTTGTGAACTCGTTTTATTTCCATTGGTTAATAAAGAAGCTGGTTTGAGCCTATGGCAGGGCAGAATAAAGCCAGGCGGAAAATCTGAATAGAGATATAAAGTAGGCAGTCAAAGAGATGCCAAGTAGCTGCTGAAGGAGACAAATGCTGAGCTTTACCCACTGCTACAATACACAGAATAATAGAAATAAGTTAATTTAAGGTGTAAGAGTTAGTCAATAAGAAGCCTAAGTTAATAGGTCAATAAGTATTTTAATTAATATATTTTCTATGTGATTATTTCCTGTCTGGGAGGCCAGGAAACAAATAAACAGTCTCCATTTACACACTGTGTGAGGTAGTATAATCTAGAAATCACTCTAAAACGCATCTTTTAAAGTTAAGACTTCAGCCTACAAAAATTACCTCAGTTGCATGTGGTAGCTCAAACTTGAACTCAATCCTAAAACTCAATGGGCTCATGGAGGACAACTGGAAGCAATCCTGGGCTACTTAGTGAGTGCCAAGCTATGTGGGCTACAGTATAAGCACCTTTCTCACTAAATTCCTATCTGTTTACATGTCCTTTACATATTCTACATATAAAACACATCCACTATTTAATCTAATACTGTTTTGAATGGTGATATAAATGAGCCATTTTTTCCTCCACTTTCACTTGAAAAACTGAAAACCTATACTTATTTCTTGGGGGAAATGAATAAGCCTATTACTTAAAATTATGAGTACTCAGTATAAAAATTATAATTATTTTACAAAAAAGTTTGCAGTTGTTGCAATAAGCTTGACAATTACACAAAACAATGGTATTTCTGGTAAGTTTAGAGGTGATATGTTTGATGCTCTAAATGAAATGTGTTTACATTTTTAGGATAAGCATAATTCACTGGACTATTCTCAGAGCAACCAATAAATCATGCTACAAGAATCATACACAAATAAACAACCGGTTCCAAATATTAAAAAAGCCAATGAATTCTAATGTCATGTCTTAGAATTACTCTAAGAATATAGTTAAGTGGGAACACAAAAATAAAAATTCTGGAGTCCACAGTGCTGTTTTAAGAGTTTAAAGGGAAGTCAGGTGTGGTGGCACACACCTTTAATCCCAGCACTGGGGAGGTAGAGGCAGGGGATCTCTGTGACTTTGAGGTCAGCCTGGTCTACAGAAAGAGTTCCCCAACAGCCAGGGCTAAACAAAAAAACCTGTCTCACAAAAACAACAACAGCAAACAAACTTTAAAAGGAGGGGCTGGGGAGAGCACTCATCAGTTAATAACACTTGCAGAGGAAGCACCCATACAGTAGTTCACAGCCAGTGTGAGTAACTCCAATTCTAAGGGATTTGACACCTGGCCTCCATGGGCACTGCATGTATATGGTATACTTGGAGATAATACACATAAAAACAATAAATAATCAATTTAAAAGAGAAAAGGGGTCACACAAGATCAAGCTTTTGAGAAATTATTGAAAACAAAATGATATAATCATGAGACATTAGCATATATTTATATTAAAAATTACTACATGGTAAACTTTTACTAAGACTGACAGGATATCCAGAAGACATGGGGAAATTGATATTTGCCTACATAAATATTAAAATCCTTTTAAATCAAATCCCAAATAATTCAGAGACTCTAATAAAAGTAAACTGGAACTGCACTTTACTGATTTAATATCCCTACTATTTGAAAGCCTGGAAATCAACTTTAAGATAATCCAAAGAAAGAAAAAAAAGGATATAAGTAAAAAACACAAAATGGGCTGTCCCTAGAGAATACCACAAGTGATCCAAGGAGTATGGAAATGTTCTAAACTTCAATAAAGAAGTACATACACAGTAAGAAACCTGGTTTCCCACTTCAGACTGGTACCCATCTGGTCTGAACAATTTATGCACATGTGGGCACACAACAGCTCTGACCAGCACACACCACGTTTAACAAAGGGGAAGAAAGCAAACACACTACTAGAGAAAGCAAACACACTTTATATACACTGTTCTCTGCTCATTAATAAATCCTGTAATTGTTAAGGGTTTAAAAGAAAACACAAAAACTACCAAATTTATGGTAAGTCACTAATGATTCAAGTATCAAAATGCACTTTACAAAAAAAGATTAGAACTTATAGAGAAACTGAAATCTCTTAGGATATCCCACAAAGATTGAGTAAATCTGTTTATTTTCCGTGATCTCACATTTCTTTCAAGTATTGAAGGTGTGGATTACTTCCCACCATAAGAGCAAACTAATAAAACTGCTCAGATGACTAAATGACAGAGTAAGCTCTGTGTGTTTGTGTGTGTGTGTGTGTGTGTGCACGTGCGCTCGCGCGCACGTCTGGTGCCAGGGACTCGTGAAGGTGGACTGGATCTCCTGAAACAGGAGTTACTGGCGGTTGTGAGATCCACTGGAATCCTGAGGCAAACCCGGGTCCTCTGCAAGAGCAATCAGTGCCTGTAACCATGGAGCTCCAAGCCCCAGAGGTAGCATTCATAAAAAACCACAAAAAGGACAAAATGAACTTAAGGGTTCTGGTGCTGCACTATCACCTTGAATTTTATCAACTTTTTATGATGTTTTTGCAAAACTGAGGGCCAAACCTAGAAATTTACACTTGCTAGGCAAACGCTCTACTACTGAGCAACATCCCTAGTCCTCATCCTATTTTTCTTGTAAAGACCAGTTAGAACAGTGACAATCTTCACCATCACACAGAATTAATTATGTTCCTCACTGTGCGTGGACACACTGAATCAAGGGTCTCTCCTAGAAAGAAACTCTATCAACTATATTTTAACTATCATTTTGGTATGTCAACAATATGATAATGAAGGACAAAAATACGACAATTACAAACAGGCCTGCAGACTTTCAAAGAAAATTCAGTGAAACTTCTGTCTCAGGCAAACACTCATAGAAACCAGAAAGAAACTGGGCCTTCATAAGTCAGTTCCACTTTACTGTACATTTCGAGGTTCCATTTTTTTTTTCCCCATCAGTTGTCAGTGAAGTCAAATGATTTTCATTGCATAATCTGAAAAACCAGTTAACTAAACCAGAAATAGACTGGGAGGTATAGGTACAGCTAGAGAAAACCCGATAGGGAACTATCACCCATCTTCCTGTTACACTGTTAATTATGAAAATGGACCTTCTTAGTCCCCATCTCATCTCAATGTGCCAACCTCCTCTCACCATCTCCTTTCTCAGCCTGCCTTCGCTGTCTATTCTTGCTTCCTATGTGCTATACACTTTTCAAATGTTTCAATCTCTCATTCCTTCACCTACACTTTACTAAAAATCTTTGTTGAAGTCAGCAAAGAGTTATTTTAATTGTCCAACCCAACAGAAACTGTGGAACCTTGACTCAGCCATGTTCCTGGTTCCCATGGTCGACCACTGTCCTGTTTTTATGATTCTATTCTTCCGGGAAAAATTCCTTCTCCTAACAAAAATCCTCTGGGAGATGATACCTGAGCATGGATGCCTAAAACCAGTCATATCGAGTCTGTGTGAGAAGCTCACCTGTTCTGGAGAGGGTGTTTGATATAGTGCTCTGGGTTTGCTATAGGAACCTCCAGACTGGATTCTGTTTTCTCCTCTTCCGCAGGTGGGGGATTAGTAGTAGGGGTGGTTTCCTAATGGAAAATAATATACAGTAAAGTTTTTAAGCTTTTTAAACAAAGCCATGACAGCAATACGATAAACAAGTTTTATACAAAGAACTAGACTACAAACCAACCTCTAGGACAATGAGACCACTTTTCATTAAGACAAAAACACTTCTCAAATTTAAATGATTTTTATAAAAAATGTAGTTACCCTATTTGCACATTTTTAGATCATCAAAGATTATATATAAAATTCAATGACCCAACTTTCTTAGTATGTTAAAATATTATATTTTTTTGAGACAGGGTCTCATATAGCCCTGACTGGACTGGAAGGAGTTTTGCTTATTTCTGCATCCTGAGTGCTAGGATGAAAATCATATGCCACGACATACAACTAAACACATTCATTTTTAAATTGTTGCTTCCTACAGAGTACAGACGGTGGAGCTGCACTGCATTCATATATTTAAGAAAAAAACTTCTTAAAATGAGCATGGCGCTTTGTATCTGTAATTGAAGGACTTGGGAGGCTAAATCAAGACTCAATGTTCCAAGCCAGCCTATGCTGTCTAGTCATTTTGAGGTCAGTCTGTACAACTTTGTGAAACCCTGTCTCAAAAAACAATGTAGCTGAGGCTGGTTTCCAGCTCACTGTAGTAGATGATGATGACCTTGAGTCCTGGGACTACCAGCACACCCACCATGGATGCCTGCTTTTTCCAACCACATCTGAAACACCCACATTTTACCAGGATTGTCAGATTTGAATGCATTTGGACCAAAAAAGTAAAGGCTAACAATAGATTATGGCTACTCTCAAAATAACACATTTTTAACCTAAGAGACAGGCTGCCCTTGAAAGACCATTGTATATAAGTGAATTATACACAGGCAGACCAGAGAAGAGCAAAGCCATAAAGTGGTGCTGTGTCTATCTAGAGGATCATGAACAATACCTGAGAGCAGGGTGGTCACAGAACTGCGGAGTTTGGGCAGTATGCTACAGAGACTATGAGGGCCTCAGATGTCAAGCTAAAGTACACCCATCATTTAAGCAGTGGAAGCCACTAACTACCAGGTCAGAGAGGTTAAATACCCATAGCAAGTAAGGGAAGAGAAAAATACCATCAGTTCAAGTGCAAAAGAATAAACTTGATTTTAGATCAGCTAAGTTTATACGGGTCAAATAAAGAGTTCAGTACTGTACTTTAGGGATCCCAGGATTAGTAAGCTGTTGTACCAACAGCAGAAAGTTGAAAAGAAAGGAAAAAGCCAAGCATGAGCAGGATAAATCTAACTAGCTGGAAAGAACCCCCCCACACACACACACACTCAGCCTTTTCAGTATTCTGTAAAAACTAGCACATGTCAACAAGTTAATATTATCAATGTGTCAGTCCTAATATTGCTCAGTGTTTCCTGGGTCTACCCTATGTCTGTTTTATTTTCTATAATAAATGTGATGAAATTTTAAATTCTCACTTTGATCACATCAATTTTTCATTATTTCCCAAAATCCTGGTATGCTTGTTATAGTTTTAAATATTCAAATCTGTCACCAACTTGCAAGGCAAACATGCATTTAACCATCTCTTCTTGGACATAAAGATTAGTGTCTACCACCACCATCACACCATAAACAACTGGGGCTTTCCTTCTAGAAAGAACCACCTAACCTTTCATCTTCAAGTGTATAAAGCCCCTCAGTTTAGAACACAGCTCCTTTAGCACTAATACAGAGTCGAAGCAGTAACTCCAAGTGCGACCCCACACCAAACCGCTGGTCTATAGGGAAGTTATTGAAATGTAAAATAAACATTTGGGAATGTTTACAGCACCTGACAGTAATTATATATCTACTGTAATCAATCACATGCCTTTTTCATAGTGTGTATCATTTTATAAAAACTATTTTTTGGAGGCAAGATTCCATGTAGCTAAACTAGCCCCAAAGAGATTAAGAAGCAGAGGACAGAAGAGCTTGCATTCCTGATCCTCCCGCATCTACCATCTAACAGACTAAACCTAGCTTCAGTCAGCAATTTAAAGAACTCAAGTTTTTCACTCCTACATGGGATATAGTGGCTCGATTCACACCTAAATACATGTTACAATCCAGTTCTGTCATTCATATTGTGCAATTTTGTGTCAGTTTTTCTGTCCCTTGCCTTCCTCATCATAAAATCTGCATCATGCACTGATGGTGCACATCTTTAATCACAGCATTCCGGAGGCAGAGGCAGTTCGACAGACAGACAGACAGTTCGAGACCAGTCTGATCTACAGATCAGACTGTAGTTCCAGGACTACACAGAGAAACCTTGATTCAAAAGTCAAAAAGATGAGCACTGCAGCATTATCTGAGAAGACTCACTGCTGGAACTAAATGAACCAACAGATGAAAAGCTTTCCTTCAACTGTCAATCCACCAGGAATGTACACTCTACCAGGGAATAACCTAAGGGCATTTCTATTATAGAGCTTCATTTCTGTATTTATTTGGAATGGTTCCAGAATTATAAACCTTTTAATATATATTACATATTTAATTACATATGTGTGCACATGTGGACTTTGTGCACATGCATGTAGGTGTCCACTCAAGCCAGAGGCAAATGATCCCTCCTGGAGCTGGTAACCAGTGATACCAATTTAGATGCTAGGAACCAAACTGGGTTACTCTGAAAGAACAGTCCATGCCCTTAACCACTGAGCCATCTTTCCAGCCTCTTATTTCATGTTTTTTAAAAAAACAGGAAACTATGCTGACGATTGTGCATATCTTTAATCTCAGCACTTGGGAGATAGAGGTAGGCAGATCTCTGAGTTGGAGGCCAATCTGGTCTACAGGGCAAGTTCCAGACCAGCCAGAGCTACAGAGGGAAACACTGAGAAACGATAAACTAACTACATTGTTCCTGGCTGTAAATACACTGTGTGGCTGGAGATTTTACTAGGTCTGCTATGACATGCACATTTTGCTCTCCTCTCTGTATCACGTCTACCTATTGCTTCTGGGGAGCCAGCAGGAGTCGTCACTGTAGCCCTCTCAAACTAGAGAGATCCAACACTGTGAAGTCACTCTACAGTAACACTCCAGACAACACAAAAGACAGTCCTAGTCCCTTTTCTGTTCTGAAACTTGGGCCTCATTTTCTGTGTTTTTATATATTTTAATGAATGGCTAGCACATAATATGTAGCTGAACTATTTATTAAAAGGGAATATAATGGATACTGAAGTCAAGAACCAAATTAAAGATCAAAGGAGCTGGAGAAAGAAGTATACTGTAGGTCTGGCATACTTGCTCACCTACCATCTGCGGTTGCAAGCAATGCTGCAGCTAAGAGCTTCCATTTCCCAGGCTCTGACTTCACTACCACAAATTTCCTCTAATGAATGCAATCCTAGATCTGCCAATCTCTGATGAACTAAAAGGAAATATTACAAAGTAGGGTGCATGTAGGGGGAGCCTACAGTACAGATCTAGTTGTAGTCCTTATTTGACAACTCCTTTAAATTTTCATTAGTTGGGTGTCACTTTTTAAGAATAGGGATTTAAGTGACTAAAACTCCCTAAGCATCAACTCATTTGCAAAGAGTTGTGAGGGGTTTTAGTGATAAACCTACAGTCTGGCACGCAACCCATCAACAGGTGACAATTTCAATTAGTCATCAGTTCTGTCAGGTGCTAGGACTTTGAGAAGCCAGCAGATGAGTAAATGAAGCATACTGAACAAGATTTCCAAACTCCAAGGTGTTCTGGCTAGACCCTTCAATTTTACCATAAGGAACCAGACTTAAATTGCAGAAGTTGAATCATTAGCATTCATATCTCAGAAACTTATCACAGGAGTACTGCTCTAACCTGCCTGGTGCATGCTCTTTAAATTACAGTCCTTGACTCAACAGTTTTGTCTATCCATCAGACCTTTCCAACCCAATCACAAATTAGCATGTGTAGTTACGTGAAGAAGAAAAAATGCTGGTGACTTGTTTGGAAATGACTACCCGCATGATCATCATACCCAATGCTTCCCTTCCTGAAGAAACCAAGTAATTATGTTTAATGCCACAGTAGTAACTAATGGACAAAGCAAGACTGGTAACTAGCTCCAGTGCCCCCTGCATATCCCTTGCTTCGCTGCTTACAAACTTAACATCAACAAGGTCAAGGCCCTAAATCAAAGGTACAGATGAGGACTGGTGAAAAACATAGAAACAGCATTTTGATTTTTGAAAATGGGAACTTCAACTCTCACATCTCATGAAAACTGTTAGTTTTCACTTTTTGCTGCTTGTTTGAAACAGGATCTCACTTAGGCATCAGCTGGTCTCAAATAGTGGTAATGCACCTGCTCCAGCCTCTGGAATGATAGAATTACAAGTATGAGTCATCATACCAGTCTCCTGAAAATTTGAACTTGATCAGTGTTAAGCAGCTACTGTCAAGTAATGTGCTACCTCTATGTTCATTATCCCTATACAATCAAACATCACAGTGTCAAACTGATGGCTCAGCAATTAAGTGTACCAGCTACCTTCCAAAGGATTAAACTTCGGCACCCCTCATGTGGGGTGGTTCACAACCACCTGTAAATCCAACTTCAAGGAACCTAATGCCTTCTTCTGGCCTCCACAGCCACCTGCATTCACATCCCCATACTCAGTCATACACTCATACTCACACACACACACACACTTCAAAAGGTAACAAGAGTGCCTATCTCACAGATAATCAAACGTTTTAATGAACGATTATACTATCATTATCTCAGAAAACTATTTGTAGGAAAACAGAAGACAATGGGGATGGAGCAGATAAATGAAAGTACTATACTGCAGCATGATTAATACAAACCCAGAGACAGAAATTAGGGTTCAACCTGAAGGTCAGAAAAGCAAAACAGCCTGCCACTGGCTCTAACCTCTACCTCAGTCCAAAATGGTGATCCTGCGTCCAGGAATCTCAGAATGAGACTGAGAGCTGTCTCCTCATATAATCATCTCTAGTGCTGGGATTA